CTTTTAATTTGGAGACTGTGGCACTGAGAAAAAGACAGGAGAAAGAACTGGAAGCGGCAGAAATGACGATATTGAGGTTCTTATTAGGAGTAACAAGGATGAATAAGATTAGGAATTAGATGATCAGAGGTACAGCACAGGTTGAACATCTGGGAGATAAAGTTAGAGAGGCCAGACTGAGATGGTGTGGACATGTCCAGAGGAGGGATAGTGGGTATATTTGTATAAGGGTGGTAAAAAAAATGCAGCTGCCAGGAAAAAGACAAAGAGGAGATATATGGATGCAGTTAGAGAGGACATGGAGGACAGAGGATGCAGAGGACAGAGTGATATGGAGGAGGATGACTCGCTGTGGTGACCTCTGAAGGTACATCTGAAAGAAGACGTCACTAAGACCCTGCAAAGACAATTCATGTACCGGTAGTATCAATGTTCTCATACACTGTGAAAGGGGCTTTATTGAGTCATCCATACAGTTTGGTTTATTTCTTAGGGTCTTACTGTTTGCACACATTCTTCTTAAGCAGCTGGTGGAATGACCTTGAAGGACAGGAGGGCATGGAACTACCTCAAAGGTTTTCAGTCCCACGGATACTGTCATTTAAATGATCGTTCACTTGCTCAGAAATAAAGGATTTCATAGCTGTACAATTAGCTGTCTAAATTTTAGTATATTACACTTTTGAAATCAAGGGTATTTGAACAATATGGTCTTTTAAAAGTCCCCAAGAAGTTCCACATCTATTATTTTATAGTTCCTGCATAAACACAGCAGTTACACAGGTTTTATAATGAATTAACAATGTTCATTTTTGCTTATTGGTTTCTATTTGGGTAACTTTAATTGTTTATTAGTAGAATATGATACAATAATAGAAAAGATAAACATAAATTGAAAACAATCAAGTTTTTCTTTTTGCTATTCTGTTTCATTGCATAAATGAATTAGTGCAATCCTGTTTTGTCAGATGGGCTGAGATGAGATGAAGATTAAGAGATGTGAACACACAAACACACATCGGGCATCTGATTTAACACACACACAGCTGGCCAGATAAACCATGTCCAAATTTGATCAGCGGGCTTGTGCTTGACGTCAACAGGCACATTCAGGATTATTTAAAGTTTTATACTTGTGCTTTGCACTTCAGCATTTGATGAATTGCATAATATCTTGTATCCTGAGATCTGTGGCAAGGCTCACTTTAATTTTATTAGATTTTGCAAATACAGTAAAGAGAAATAATTATTTGGTCCCCTGCTGATTTTATTAGTTTGTTCACAAGAGAAAATACCAGTGTACATGTGCATGGTAGGTTCCCTTTAAAGTAAAGAAAGACTATCTCAGCAAAGGAGTTGACGGGAGAGAGGGTGGGCCCCGGAGGCCATCTTATCTCCAGCAAACTGTTTATGGGAGTGTGCTGCTTGTGGGAATCAGTTTTTTGGTGGCTCCTCAGATTTCAAAAGTCCTATGGATGAAGAATGAAACATCCATCCATTTTCTTTACCCGTTTATTCCATTTTGGGTCACGGGGGTCGCTGGTGCCCATGTCCAGCAATCACTGTGCGAGGGGCGGGGTACATCCTGGACAGGTTGCAAGTCCATCACAGGGACACATGGAGACAAACGAGACAAACAAACATTCACTCTCCCACTCACACCTAGGGACAATTTTAGAGATACCAATCAGCCTAACATGCATGTTTTTGGTCTGTGGGAGGAAACCGGAGTTCCCAGAGAAAACTCACACATGCGCGGAAAGAACATGCAAACTCCACCCAGAAAGGCCCCCAGACCGGGATTTGAACCAGGGACCTGCTCGCTGAGAGGCAGCAGCTCTACCAGTTGCGCCACCGTGCTGCCAAGAACGAAACATCTCAGGGGGAAAAAAAAAGAAAAACGTCCAGATGACCTAACTGAACATTGTTTGATTTTTACCTGGATTATTGAGCATGAACTTTGATGTAAATAAAGACTTAACATCAACCCCCCACCCCTCAAAAAACACAAAAGTTTTAAATTCATTTGTGCATCATTGAGTGAAATACGTATTTGATCTCCAAAGAAAAAAACAACAGCACTTGATAGAAAAACCAGTGGTAATGAGCACAACAGTTCCTTCCACAGGTTTTCTACACAGCTGAGGTCTGGAGACTGGCTAGAACACACATCACATAGTCCTCTCAAGTGGCCAATTAATGCAGTACATTGTTCGGTACCAATAAGAAAAAAAAAAGAATAAATAAAACTCAAAACATCATGTTTTCACCTCTAGGCCACTCTGTGGTGTTTGGGTCATTATTTGGTTTCTTTGGGTCATGCTCAACATTTCTCTTCCTTAAAACTTACCCTTTTGGCTTAAGAGCTTAAAGAAAGAAAACCCACAAAGACCACTTAAATATTTTAAACTGACAAAAGTAATAATAATAAATAAACAAATGAAGCTTTACTTGCCAAAGTGATAGAACCCATAGAAAAGAGACTAAAACAATTTTGACCATAGAGACATGTTAAACTTAGCATGCTCTGGTAATTAACACCGCAGGTAACAATCAGTCTGCCTATTTCAGGGGAGAAAGGTAGTTAACAGTGCTATTTTGTTTATGGTGTGTACTACTACACCAAAGGGGACAGCTGTGGCTGAGTGGTTAAAGCAGTCGTCCTCCAATGGTAGAGTTGGACGTTCGATTCCACCAGCAGCCACATGCTGAAGTGTCCCTGGGCAAGACACTGAACCCCTCATTTCCTCCGATGTGTGTCCCATCGGTGTATGAATGTGATAAAGCTCTGATTAGTCTTTGATTAGATCTAGTAGAGTGCTGTATGAATGGGTAAATGAGGGGACAGATTGTGTTGTAAAGAACTTTGAGCATCTTTATAAGATAGAAAGGTGCTATATAAGTACAGTCCATTTACCATTTACAATGAACATGGACCACAAAAAGTTAATGACATTTTTCTCAGAAGCTTAGCAAGAAGATCATTGACTACCATGTTGAAGGTAAAGAAGATAAGATCATCTCCGAGTAGAATGATGTTTCTGTGACTATAGCTGCACATTTTATTCAGAACTTCAAGGTCCACAGGACTGGATACAACTTCCCTGGATGTGGCTACAAGAGGAAAATTTATGACAAACTGAATGAACAAATAATACCAAGGTCCAAGGTACATCAGTCTCAAATCACACCATCCATCACTGTTTGAGCCAAAATGGGCTGAGCTGAAGATAACTGAGGAGGACACGAAAAGGCAAGACTAGAATTAGAGTACATGCATAGATGGACTGCTGAGACAAATCTGGAGCCTTTTGGCAAACAAGTCACATCAGCTCCATGTTTACAGGAAATGAAATATACAAAGAACAGAACATGGTACTTAAAGTAAAACAAGGAGAAGGAATCTGTTCTGGGAATGCTTTGCTGCAGAGGGTATCTTGAACTTGTGCAGGGTACAATGAAATCTCAAGACTAGCAAGACATTTGGAAGCGAAACGTGCTGCCCAGTGTCAGAAAGTTTGGTCCCATTCTCAGATATTGTGTCCTCCAACAGGATTTTTTTTTCTTTTTCATTTGGCTACTTCTTCAGTTGTCACCACAGCGAGTGAGCTCATTTGAAGATTTTGACATTGTTTTTATGCTGAATGCCCTTCCTGACACATCCAAGCTTCCACAGCCCATGTGTGTGGAGCAGAGGGCTGCCATCCAAGGCAAATGTATGGCAAATGAGGATGGAAGCAGATGAGAGTGCTTTATTTTTCCCACCCAAATGTCAGAGGATTTGCCCTCTCTAACCTCTGCACCACCACTCCCCATGAGTGCTCCAACAGAATAAGCTTCTGTGGAAGAAGCTGAAAATATGGAGTCTGGAGAAGGAACCCTTCAAACCTGAGAAAGTTGGAGCACATCAGGAGGAGTGGGTCAGAACACCTGTGGCCAGGTGCAGAGGTCTTAGAGAAAGTTACAGAAACCACTTGATTGCAGTGATTGCCTCAAAAGGTTGTGCAACAAAATATAAAATTAGGGGTACCATATTTATTTTCATTTTCATTTCATTTTTCTTTTCGATCACCATGTATTAGATTATCGTTACAGCAAGATGATTGTAAGAAGGAATTTGTATGTGATTAGCTTTTGTTTCGAGAAAACATGTTCCTGAATGTTAAAGTTTTTAGTCTTCTATAAAGTCTTTATCTTTACCTGTTATTCTACTACTTATCTGTGTTCGGGTTGTGGAGGCAACAGGTCCAGGAGAGAAACCCCAACATCTCTCTCCACAGCAACACTTTTCAGCTCATTCTGGGGTACTCGGAGGCGTTCCCAGACCAAAAAAGATACACCATCCCTCCAGCAACTTCTGGGTCTTTCCTGGGGCCTCCTACCAGCGGGACGTGCCCGAAAAACCTCTAAAGGAAGGCATCCAGGAGGAATCCTAATCAGATGCCTGGTCCACTTCAATGGACTCCTTTTGATGTAGACTAGCAGCAGTTCTACTTCGAGCTCCTTCTGGATGATGGAGCTCCTCACCCTATTTCTAAAGCTGAGCCTGATCACCCTACGGAGGAAGCTCATTTCAGAAACTTGTTTCCAGGACCTTGTTCTTTTGGTCGTGATCCAAAACTCGTGACCATAGGTGAGGGTTGAAACATGGACAGACTAGTAAATTGAGAGCTTTACCTTTTGACTCAGCTCTTTCTTCACAACGACTGAATGAGAACCTGAGAATGAGATCCATCTCCCACTCCATCCTACTATCACTCATGAACCAGACGCCCAAATACTTGAACTCCTCCACCTGAGGCAAAGTCCCCCTCCCCAGACTCAGAGGGGTCATTCCACCCATTACTCTTGTTTGGAGAATTCTCATTTCCATTACACTGCATTGTATACCTGTTGTTTTATTGCTCCAATGACCAGGAGTATTTTGTCTGTAGTTTTGTGAATTTATCACCCATTTGTTCTTAATTAATCTCTCCTTTGTCCATATCTCTGTCCATCAGGTAAGAAAACAATCCTGGCTGGTGCAATAAACTCCTCTGTCAAGTGAAAAAAAAGACCAAACGATCCTGTTGCCATGGGGAAACAGAACAGCAAGCTGCGGCCAGAGATGCTGCAGGACCTCCGAGAAAATACAGAGTTCTCTGACCACGAGCTTCAGGAGTGGTACAAGGTATGCACCATGTACGCCAAACAGACACGTTCTTGAAAAAGTATGCAACAAAGTATGCATAGCTTTTAATAAGTTTTTTTTTTTATTTGAATATACTGTATTCTATATACTGCATGGTATTTCTACTCTGGTGCACTGCACATAAGGGAAAAGCCCTGGAATTGTTCCTTACTTAATCAACTGAGGCAGCACCATAAGCTGGTGAAAGCAACATTTCCATTTTTCTAAAGTAATCATTTGGCCTCATGACGAAGGAAAACTGCATTGCTGTTCTTTTTTAGCACTCTGTGGACTTCGCCTACTATAAGGAATTATCTACACCAGCTGAAAAAAAAACATATATATATATATATATATATCAACTGGTAGAGCTGCTGCCTCTCAGCGAGCAGGTCCCTGGTTCAAATCCCGGTCTGGGGGCCTTTCTGGGTGGAGTTTGCATGTTCTCTCCGCGCATGTGTGAGTTTTCTCTGGGAACTCCGGTTTCCTCCCACAGACCAAAAACATGCATGTTAGGCTGATTGGTAACTCTAAATTGTTCCTAGGTGTGAGTGAGAGAGTGAATGGTTGTCTGTCTCGTTTTTCTCTATGTGGCTCTGTGATGGACTGGAGACCTGTCCAGGGTGTACTCCGCCCCTCGCACAGTGATTGCTGGACCCCCGTGACCCAAAATGGAAGAAGCGGGTAAAAGATAATGAATGGATCTTGCAATAACATTTTAACATTATATTGTAAACAAAAATACACAGCTAAAATTTACCAATAATAAAATCTTTACTTTAAATTTTGGTAAGTTGTCCTGCTCCTGTTTTAAAATAGCTAAAGTTTGTACATAATTATAAATTACCGAAAGCTACTTTTACTTACGTTTTATACAGTTAAACAAAACAAGTGGCATGTATCATAAGTTTGCAGATTAAAGGTAAATCACTGCTCTTTGATTACTTTTAAAATCTTTACACCTCCATTGGCTGTAGAAAATTTACATAACCTCATCAATACATAAAATGCTCATATCATCTTGAGCAAAGTTTTTTTTTATTTCAGAACATTAAAAATATATATTGTCTCGCTCACCTGTGTCTATCGCCAACCAGTTTTAGTTGCATTCCTGTTAATGCACAACTTGAGGGCTGTGCCTCCTGTACTGCGTGAGACTTGGGTCAAAGTGCATGTGTTTACTAAAGCCATCCAGTCATAAATCTACCGGCTGCATCAAATCTTAGCCTTGAAATTCAGTATATGACTTCTTCACCGTGATTAAAAGACGGTTCAGTTATGTGTTGCATTAAATTCCTAATTTCATCATATCAGATAAGCAAAACAAATGCATGTTAAAAACCCTTCACAATACCCAGTGCATTACATTTCTATGAGGTAATTTAAAACTTTTCTATTTAAGTTGTTTTTCTTGTTTTGGCTCAGCAGTGAATATGGATCTCTGGTTTGTCTCGAATAGATTAGATGTTACAAAATAACAGCAACATTTCATATTTTTAAACATTTATTTGTTCCTTTAAATCCCTTTTGACCAGATCTGACTGTGAAAAAAAGAGTCTAAGCATTCATTACAACCCGGCTAGACTAATAACACTTTTTATGTTGGGGTCAGTCAGGTCTCCCTTTCACATCTCCAGCTCGGCTCTTAACAGGAACTCGTAGGTTTGAGCATAGTTCATCTGTTTTGTCCTCTCCTCACTGGCTCCCTGTGCGTACCAGAATTGATTAAAAAATTTTCCTTTTGACTTTTAAGTGCATAAATGGCCGTGCACCCTCAGCTCTCTGACCTACTTAAACCATATATTCTCGGGCACTGAAATCATCTGACCTGCTGCTTTTGGTTGTACCAAAAACCAGGTTGAAGC